TCGCAAGCATTCCCCTCCTTCCTTGTGTACAATCCTTATCTCTCTCTTTCTCTCTGCCGATCTGCGATCGATTCGACATCGTGTTACGGACAACACGAAGGGGATAGACTCGAGAAAGGGAGAAAAGAACAGCTTCGAGACCGGCAAGTAGCATTGATTCGCGGCTAGATGATCACGAACGCGCCTCGAGCATTTGCCTAATTAAATTCCATTGTTAATCAGTGGCGTAATTACGATGCATCGCGGCGCATCCGGTGTTATCGTCGCTCGTTTCTTCGAAACGATACAATTTCCTCCATTAACCGCGATCACTGGTTAACCCATCGCTCAACTGAATTTGCCCAGCTTCGAGCTGGATGCGACGATGATACGTTGTTGACGATAACTCGGTCGAGTTTAATAATGGCCACCACTCGGTTACGGGTTCAACTATTCCCCCAAGATCTCCGCTAATTGGGGAGCGTTATACAGTTTGTAGTTTCACGCGTTAATAATTATCCCCGAATTCGTTACGTCACGAATAAAATTCATCCAATTGGATAAACGATACTATTACCGATGATATTTCTTGAAAGAATTGTAAAAGAAAGAAAGAGAATAATCGGTATAATCGGTGTGATTACACCCTTCTTGAAGAGAATCGTTCTTCGAATAAATTACGGAAAATTGTTATTCGTCGCGCGAGATTAATCATCGTTTTTTCTAGTCTAGAAAAATTACATAATTTGTATCCTCCCTCGTTTCGAGACGAATTATCGAGAAACCGATTTATCTCTGGCAGAGATACGCCCACGTTGCTCCGCCAATGTTAATGCCTTTACCTCGAGGGCAAGAAAGGGAAGAATCTGGCCGGAAGAAAAAGCTGCCGCTAAAAAACGTTCACCCTACTAGAAGAAACTTCACCTCTCCTCCAAATCTTCCAACTGTTTAAACTGACTCTCTCGAGCAAAGTAGCCGTGTGTAGAAACTCGACTTATCCTTCGTTATAAGAATATCCAAGTACGCAAAACTGAATGTAGAAAGAAGATATTCGGTAACGATGAGTGGCAATGAGATTTCTCGAAATTTTCCACGTAGATTCGATACCGAATCGTGAATAATTAACACGCGAATTTGACGATTTTTCCACGTTCTTTTTAATTGGAGAGAATTAAGAGAATTTCCAAAGTACTTTTTCCAAAGGAGAAATCCTCCAATCCTTTCTCCAAAAGTCGAAGAAGCGAGGGAATCGACGAAGAACCGGAAGTGGAGGAATATAATAATAATAGCAGGCAGTTTGTAGTAGTTCGCGAGAAATCTTTGCTCTCCTCACGTTGCGTTTGTCGGGCGATAAATTCTATCGATTCGTTTGTTTCGTTCAATTGGGCTCGACTCGTGCTCGGCTTGGATCGATATCGTCCGATTTTAAAATTCGTTCAACGATATTCGTCGGACAAACTAATAATGCAACAACAAACGGGCATAAAAATTTGTAATTCTAAATGCAAATCCGTGTATACTCGTTACACGAGTTTTACACGCGCTTCCGTGTAAATATTATCGTTTGATTGGCTAATGGCGGCCACTGTTTCGCCCAGCTTTTAATCAAACATTGGTAGACCACGATTTGGATTATGCAATCCTAATTTTCCCATATTTTCGAACCCACTACTCGATTGCCGGCGCAAAGTGATTACGGTCAATTTGGGAACCGATCGTTTCGTAGAATTTTGATATTGAAACTGAACGTTTCGAAAGTATAATATTATGTAATTTATCTGTGTTAAACAGGAAAAAGGAATATATACACTTTGACAAATTATCGAAATCTCTTCTTTTAAGAAAGGAGGACACAAAAATCACGTTCAAAGCGAGTCACGGATCCAATTCTCGACTCGCGGTAAGAAACGCAATTGCGGTATTGAAAATCCGCCTTGCCAGCCTCTTCCAGCTTGTTTCTCATAGGAAAGGTATCGAATAGAAAAAGGTATCCCTTTCGATGCGAAAATTGGATTGTGTCAATGGATATGGATCTCTCTTCCTTTCATCGGACAGAAATAAGGAAGAAAATGAAACGAGAGAAGAAAGGAGGGGAGACTTTTCTCTCTCTCTCTCTCTCTCAGAGAGTTGTTCCCGACGATTAAAGAGCCGTTCCCGTGATTTGAGGCGAGGAAAGGAGGCGGCGAGAAAACAGCCCTGTTCCGAAACGAGGGGAGAAGTTTGTTCCGGGGCCGACTCGTCTCGTCACTTTTTCGAGAGGGACGCATCTGACGCGGAGACAACGACGAGGCGGCGACGAGCAACCGTCCTCAAAGACAATTAGAGAGGAGGCTTGTAAAAAAAAAAAAGATCGAACCCGTTGTTCGTCGGCGGACAAAGACGAGAGGGAAGAAAGAGGGCGACTCACCCTCTCTCACGCCTTTCAAAAACATCACGGATGGATCAAAGCGGCGACTTCTCGTTTTCGTCGATCCAACAACCCTCTCCGCTCCGCTGCTTTCATCGAATAATTAACCGAACAACAAGACAGACGTTCTTCCCCGTTGGGACGATTATCGATTCGTTACACCCCGCCTTCGAAAACGATTGACGCGTGGAATAAGTTCCAGCAACCAAGATATTTGAATATAGCGAGACGTGTCTTCGCTTATTTTACGAATATCGACCAAACTTTCTACAACTTTTTCGAAAAATCTGACCCTTTCGAGCCACGCGTTAGACTTTTAAACGTGTATATATGTAACTTTGCGGTGGAATAAGGACGTGGATTTTGCCGAAATATTTCTACTAATGCACTCTCTGCTAAGGCTTCCGGTCAGAGGAGGTGCTCGTACAGGAAACAGTGGGAAAGAGGATTTCTCCTCCGCAATTTTGAAATCTACTAAAAAGCTCCGTCATTAAAAAAGAAAAGAGAAAGCATTCACGAACATATTCCAGGATAATTTACCATAAACACTATCCTAGTTCTCTATCCTATCGATCTCTTTAACAGTATATATATATGACCCAATCTCGCCTCTCAGCTTGTCTCAAAGGAATCGTCCTTCCACCCATAATTCAGGCTAATCACGGGCCATCGAAACGACACCCGACGTCGAGAAGCGAAACGTTAACTGGTTATCGGCCACCCGTCGTCTGATCTCTCGAATATAATCTCGCGATTCAAATCGAATCGCAGCCGGTTCTCGGGGAAACGTTGCACCATTGTCGATTTTCCGACTATTCACTCGCGATTAATTCCGTTCCCAATCTGTTTGACACGGATCACAAGATTCGGTTGTACGACATCGTCGATCGTTTGCCCGTTCTCGAGTCGCATCGAGTCGGATCCAAGCGTTGAGCTTTTAAGGGAGATTGAAATTGCAGGGATTCGTGCCGCGCGGATCCGGTCCACTGCTCAAAAATGGACTCGTGTCACGTGCGACCGAGCGCTCGCGTGGAATTCAGCGTGAGGATGGATTTTTTTCACACCTTCCTACTCGCAATTTCTACTCTTGCTCTCGACAATTTTATCTATTGTAAATCCGTGATTTTATATGACTACTCTTGTGATAATAATACACGTACGATCGTTGCAATTTCTACTTTTGCTCTCAACAATTTTATCCAATGTAAATGATTTTATACGACTCTTGTGATCCTTTCGATCGTTGCGATTTCCATTCTTGCTCTCAACAATTTTATCCAATGTAAATAATTTTATACGACTCGTGTGATCCTTTCGATCGTTGCAATTTCCATT